CCCAAAAGAATGGAGGATTAAAAACTTACCCTGTGACTATAAACTGCACCAATGTCAATTTTGTGAGGGCATTTCTTTTGCAACTCTTTCTCCAAGTCCTGTTGATCAGCAAATGACTGATACCTGACATACACATCATCTTTCAGGGTAAAGGAAAACTCTCGGTGGGTGAAATAATTCTTTGGGACTGAAAAACAAAGAAAGACTCAATGCTTATTTAATACGATCACAGAATCATTAAGCTTTTTTAAATTAACAAATTTATGACAAAATTCAGTTTTAATGGGACCTGAACCAGAGTCAGTGGTTTAGTGGTGAAGCTCTTTGCCCTTTCATGCAGAAGGTATGAGTTTGATTCCAACACCATGAAGTTGTTTTCTTGATAAACTCCACCTGGTGGTATGATAGCCCGTATGAAGTCTGCGGCAAACATTGCACTCCCAACTCTAACTGCAAGCATGGCATTCCCCACCCAACTTTTCACACTGTCGACAGTCATCGCTGGGAGAGAAATAACTGAAACGCCGAAGAGCAATGAGTTTTCCTAGCCCTCCTTGAAAAAGATGAAGAAAAGCAGCCATGAAGGAACAATCTCTCTACCAAAAATACGTCAAAGCCCAAGAAAATCTGGCAGTCCAGCAGGCACTGAAAGGTGATCTCCACGGTAAATACTAGTTACATCATGAATACTTGACTTACAACTTATAAAACTGTACTATAGGCTAGTACGAGCGTATACTAGGTTAGCAATAGAAACAGTTGTTTGTTAGCGATGAACTGGGTGTAGAAATCTAAATTTAGATCAGCACATCTAAACAAGAACTCAGTTCTCTCAACAACACCAAGAAGGGGAATAAAACCTCATGAACAGGGGGAACCTTCTAATAATATACATGACTAGATCTATACAACAAGGCTTTTCAAGGCCAAAGATAACAATAACATTATCATCATCCAAAAGTGTAATTCATTAAAACTCAATCCGTCACGATGTAATTTTTTCCTGCAGTTGAAACCATTTAGATCTTAGATTCTAGACGTAATTAAATAGCCTCTATACTATGTAACCCTGCAAATGCAAATAAATCTCAATGGATTCACAAACTCAAAGATGTCATTTCAGAAAGCCTTCGTGCTCTCACGTTTTATAATATATTCACTGATGCAACAATATATGAGAAACGAAAAACCCTGTTCACATTGCTGATATATATATATCCGCCATGTAAACGCCCAAATGTAGATCTAGACTAATCCCCAAAAGTGACGATCACCAATAATGCATCCAAGATAAGATTACTAAATCTAGTAGGCCTACCTCCGCCATAGTTGAGCCATCGATAATACGGGCCGTACGGAAACAGTCGTTTGTAGTAGAGTGGCAACAGATCAGGAAGAACATTGGGATCATAGGACTGAGCAGCCATGGCGATCTGTCAAAACAAACATGTTCCATAGTTACGAACAAAAAGGAATTAGACAATGGAAATTAGAATCTAGAATCTAGATCTAGATCTAGATCTAGATATATCTAGACTAGATTTAGATCTAGAGTAGGCCCGCATCACCGCGCTACTGTTTTGGTGCGCAACCCCCGGTCTCCTGCTTTGTTTTGGATAAGAACAGCGAAAACGAGGTCATTTTCTGTGAGCATGCGCAGAATGCAGCTTATTTCACTTTCGTTTTGGAGGTTCCTG